AAAATCCCGTTTTTGCTTCTGGAAATTTTCTGCTCAGGCAGTCCGCTTCAGACAGAGTTTGACGCTTCGTTAACCGTTGGATCGTGCTCAAATTTGAACTGGGAGTTCTCAGCATCTGGTTCTTGCAATTCAACGGTGGAGATCGGATTTGGAGGTCTGTAGCTTCTGATTTTGGGGGTGAACAGTAGCGCGTTTTGGGTGAAATCTCTTCTTTAATTCTCTAGTTTTGGTGCAATCTTGATTTGTTGTTGCTCGTTGTTTGGCACTTGTTTTGTGGCCAATTTTGGAGAACAATTTTGTAACTCTTGGTGTTTATAGTGGAGCTTTTGGTCCTGTGGTTTTTTACTCTTCACATCGAAGGGTTTTCCACGTAAATCGTTGTGTCTTGTGTGATTGGGTTATTCTTATCTTGTTGATTTAGTTTGATTGATATACTTGCTGTCCATTCTTCATATTGCTTGATTTGGTTTGTCTTCTCTTGGTTCAAATTGAAAGGGAAAGTTTAGATTTGGGTATTATTCCGCTGCTATCCTGTCTGACATTCTTGTTAGTGCATTAACTTTCCCAACATCCATTACAGGGTTAAGATTCTTCACTGTTTATGGACCTTGGGGTCGGCCAGATATGGCGTATTTCTTCTTCACAAAGAACATACTAAAAGGAAACCCCATTTCAGTATTTCAAGGTTCAAACAACAAAAGTGTAGCTAGAGATTTTACCTACATTGATGAAATAGTAAAAGGGTGTTTAGGGGCGTTGGATACAGCAGAGAAGAGCACAGGAAGTGGTGGAAAGAAGAAGAAGAATGCACAATTAAGAGTGTTTAATTTGGGGAATACTTCACCAGTTCCAGTAACAAAGCTAGTTAGCATATTGGAGAAACTACTCAAGGTAAAGGCTAAAAGAAATGTGTTGCCATTGCCAAGAAATGGAGATGTGATGTTTACTCATGCTAATATCAGTTATGCTCAGAAGGAATTTGGATACAAACCCACTACAGATTTGCAGATGGGGTTGCAGAAATTTGTTAATTGGTATCTTGATTACTATTCAATAATTGAAAAGAAGAATTATTGATCAAGTATATGGTGTTCCATGAGACGCTTGTATAGGCATTTGAATTTTTTTAGTCTCTCTTTTTTTCTTGGATTAGTTGTATTGATTACTTGCAGTTAGGCGGATTTATTATGCTAATGATCTCACACATAGTGTTAATGAGAGGTTCTATCAAAATGTGCTTCTATTGCTCTTTATATGATTGTGCTATTTGGAGGCATGTGTAGTTTCATGATTTGTTTGTATAAATTCTTAAGTCTTTTTGTTCCTTTTGGGATAAGAAATTCACTTCTTGGTAGATGATAAGTTGTGTCAATATACAGTTTGGTCACACTTGAATTTGGATTCTTCTCGATCAAAACCCAATAGCAGATAAATGCCTTGATCACATTCTTTTTGCAGCAAAATATCACCAAATCAGCCAAGCACCTCTTGGATGTTAATGAAAACCTGACAATGGCTCATCTGGCTGGACTACACAAAAATCGCAATTACTATTTTAGTGCTCAAATATGCTATTTGTGGTCTTTACCCAAAAGAAAAAAACAGTGTACTGAATTTTATGCATTTTGGCAAATGAAGCGCATCAACTATTAGAAGGGCCCGGGTTCATTTAACATGTGCAATATAAAGTAGTAGTATTTACTGAAAATTATCTACTTGAGATTTCTTATTGAATTTTAAGTAATTCAACGCACTCGCAGTGTAATAGTCATATTTATTTTGAAGATAGAAGAGGGAACAACTGGAAGATTTGAGAGAAGCTCGAGTCCAGGCACTTGAAATGAGAGCTAGAAAGTTGTGCTCTCGTTCATTGCTTCTTTGGGCAAGATACCGAAATGTTTAACCAAATTTATGTGTACAAGTATCCCCAAAAACCTTAAGGTCATCATAACTCAGGTTATAAACAGAAGGAACAGCACAATACAGGAAAAAAACCAAGGGAAGGTACCTACAACTGAGCTATATCATCTCAGCTCGCATTAATCATGGATCACTATTTATGACATAATAAAACTACTAGTTCCTGTATAGAATTCTAATCATTTTCGCAAAAACTCTGTTCATCCAAATCAGCAAGTAGCACAAGAAACTCTGAATCTGAAATGAGAAAAGCTCCACCAGGTTGACACACTTTAAGGTAATCTTGACTAGGAATGGTTATAGCCATTTTTGGTGTCACTGTCCATTTCCTCCGCATCTTCAAACCTTTGATCATTAATCTGAAGCTACAGTTCAAAAAAGCACGTCTCAATTTTCATGCAACAAATCTTCCTACCTTTTATATGCACACTTCAACCATCACCTCCCCCCCCTCCAACCAAAAATAACAACCCCCCCAAAAAAAGAATTACAGATCTCATAAATGAGGTGTTATAAAAGGAACCTTTCACATGCCACTGCTGTAATGAGGTTGCACATGCAATTATCAATAATAGTTTATATCAGTTTAAAAACATGATAGTTATTCAAGAAAAAAGTCCCCAGAGAGGAGCTCTAAATGCTTCACAGTGCTTGTAGAAAACATATCAAAGAACCAATTGACAAATGACAGTGAGGGAACCTAGTGAAAAGTATCATCCACCTCCAACATTGAGGTTGCCATCATTGTAGACTCCTGGGCTTAGGTGCATTGGTTTACTGTTTACCATTACAGGTGATTCAGCCTCCGTTTTATATACCATGCACGGACGCAGAAATTCAGGTAAAGAGTCCTAAAAGTCTCTATATCTTATCTCCACAAAAGGAAATATTGAAGAAGGATGACAATGCAGATTATTCATATGGAGAAATACACAGAGATCAAGTATAGTCAGGCTCTGAAACTTGACGTTGTGTTGTTGAATATGTACTATGAACTAATCTACGATTCCCAAATATGTGAAGACTGACTATGTGCTTATTACTTTAAAAATTAGTATTGAATTTGTTCTAATTCACCTCCATTTGGCTACCCAGCCCCAACACCTACCAAACGAGCCAAAGGAAAGGCAACGAACAAGATTAATCACAATTCTGAATTTCAAGTGTCAAATCAAATCTACAATCACAGGCCTACCTGAAGTACATTATGAGCTAAGTCGTGATCCCCATTTGAACGACCAATTGGATGTGTAGAATTTGGAGAAATCATCCATTCAGAATCTTCTTCTAAAGTTAGACCAGCAAGAATATAAGTTGGTTGAGAAAATGATTATTGGTTTCAATTAAAAGATAGCCGATGCCTATCAATTCTTACCAGCTTCCTGATTTTCCAGCTGATCTGCGCTGAAGATCCAATTATGTTCCTCCTCCTCTACGGAAAGCAACACCAGATTTTAGTAAAGTAGAAACAAAACATGGGCAGCAAAATGCGAGTAGAAACGTGTTAATGAGTATGTCCAAAGAAGAAGAAAACTACCTTCAATTGGTTCAGGATTAAGCTCAGCACAATCACAAAAGATCTGGAAGAGAGTATCCACTGTCGACATAGAACATGCAAAGCAAACTTTTATCTTTCGGAGCTAAAGTAGCAGAAAGTATTTGTCTTATATGAAAAACAATGAACAAGAATGAAGCACCTTGATTAGGATCTGATGGCACAAGTCTCAACTCAGTGATCCTTGATAAATCTGATGACACATCACCTTCATCACTGGAACCTTCTGATTCATCATCCTCCACTCCATTGTCAATCTTCATGAATGAAGCAAGAGATATCTTTTATTTTCACACCCGTTAAAGTAAAACATATTTCACATTTGTGAAATAGAAACAAATGTTTAACCAGAACTCAGGATTCCCTTCAGGGAGAAAACACAGAGAGAGTGATCATCCGAAATATTAAACAGGACTGAAAGAAAATAATTTCTCTACCAGAGAGACTCATTAATTATAAAGCCAGAGATTTTACAGACATGCATAATCATGCAACTAATCCATCTGGTTCAACCATACATGATTTATCCAGCTTCAGAGAATAGATTGCATACACTACACAATCCTAACATAATAAATTACAGAAATTGCATTTCATAATGTCATGGATAGCCAACTATATATTAACCGTGTCAGATAGTTTACTGGCAAATGAAAAAATAAAGAAAATAGTTGGATGATCTCCACCAAGCTTCAATGAAATAGGAAATACCACAAATGATTTTTTAAAAAACTAAACATGATGAATTGCCCTATTGAATATGTAGTGGAGTTGTGTACTGTTCTACACCTGTCAATAGCATTAAGTGAGAGCTCTAATAGATTTAGCCTCAGAAATATTGAAGGTCAGGTCAGTCCTCAATATCTTTCTTCTCCCCTTGCAAGTTCATCTAAGACTGACAATTGACCCAAGACTGAAAACCATGGTATTAGCAATGCAAGTGATTTTAATACATGCATTAGCATGGTTCAAGACACAATTGCCCCTCAAAACCTTTTTCACATCCTTTCCACGGTACGTGTGGAGTATATTTTTGTAAATAAATCTTTTTTTAAAATTATGTGATGCATGTTATTTTCAATACACCAAACCAAACATTGCATAAGAAATAATCTCAAGCATAACTAATACCAGCATTACTAATACACCATATTCAACACTTTCTTATACACCCAAACCAAACGACCCCTAAATGTTTTAAACATACACATTGCATTTTACTATCATTTTTCTCAAGTAATTTGTATTATTACTACGTAGCTATTTTGAAATCATTATTGTATGTAACATAAAAAAAACAAGCATTTAGGAACTGGAGAAGTCCAAAAGAAATAAAAAGGAGGCGACAAAATGGCCTTAATTCCGGACACAATCCAAAACATCTTCAAGCCCAATTGATTCTAGATTTACCTTTGACTAATTAGAGTTTCGACCTCCTTTCCTTCCCCACAAAAGATTGTGGTGTTTTTCCTATAAAAAATCATTTCTACCCATAAGTTCTCTCTATCTGCCATGGCAGGAAAAATACCAGTCTTGGCTGAAAATCTGGGCTCTGGCAACCACCATTGTCAGATCAGACTGGCTCTTTAAGCCGATTGAATTTCAAAAGTACTCCTATTTTGGTCCCCACAAAATCATCTATAAAACACCCCAAGTAGGATTTCATTATAATATGAGGTTATAGGTAAAATTGACTTATACTAAGTGATACTAGAATGGATAAATGATATTTCACGATGACTTATTGAATTCCAGATGAACCCTGCATGCTTCCTTCTAATGCATCCCATCAAGCTGGAGTTGGGGCATAGAAGGCAATGAAGAGAGAGTGCAGCCTTCGCCAAGAAAATTGACCCTCACCAACGACCTTTAACCCCACCATAGCACCACCTCTCCTCCACCCTTTGTTGTCCTTCACTTATCGAGAACCATCAAAGAGTCACCGCTGCATGCTAGTCTTGAACTAACTTCCACCATCTTTCCTTATAAAATACAAACAAACAAAAAGCCCCTTCATACATCATCTTTCCGACCATCACTGTTTGTATTAGCCACCATCCAAATTTTGCTACTTCTGTTGATGATAGTTTAAGGCCACCATTCTTCAACTCCTCACCCAAAAAAAAACAATGGAAGAGAACTGTCTGGCCGATGTAAAAGACATACACCGATAGATATGGCAAACACTTCAGTAGTTAATGTCCTATTAATGGCACACAACTACCACCAGATAACACCAATGATCTGGTACTTATAGCCAAATTAGCGCCATATCTGCCTCACACACTTGAAACTATAACCATCACTCAAAGCATAACTCAGATTGGCATTCTAAAAGGTTCCAAACCTATTTATATAACATTCTGTTATACGCAACTCTGTTGCATTGTGGCCATTTGAATGGTGAAACAAGTAAGAAGGCCCAAACTAGCTTGCCTGTTAGTTTGAACCTCAAAATCCTAATGAAGTACTGGATTGGAAACATACATTACACTGACTTAAAAAGCTAGTTCATGAAGTGAGGGTTGTCCACGACCATATAAGATTTTTTTTCATTCCAACCAATGTGGGACTATCTAACACATAGCCCCCACTTCCAACGTTGAGGCCTACCAAATAAAGCATAGATAACATAACACGGGAGTTCAACATTGAAAAAACACAACAAGAAGAATGGGCTTGGCTCTGATACATAATAAGGAAATGGACTTTGGGCTAACTCAATCTCACAAGTTAGCTCATGAGGTGAGGATTGTCCAAAACAATATAAGGAGATCATTTCACATTCCTTCAACCAATGTGTGACAATTTAAAAGGCTTTAACTTCTTCCCATCCTTAAATATTTCCCAATTTTTTTTGGAACTTCTACACTATGTTACCAACACTACTGACCAGCACCTCTTTAATAATCAAGAACGCTGCAAGCTCAATTCGTAAATGTAAGCTTTTAGGAATCGCAATCATACACATCTGTTTGTAAAAACATGAAGATAAATCATTTATTCAGGAAATGGGTTATTCGTGATGTAGATTTTATATTTACTGCAAGATCATACAGTCCATCAATATATATTAACCCTCTATAACATCTCACAGGTCCTAACATCCAACAACAGATAGCAACAGAAGAGCCACTAAATAATGAAATAAATCTCATAACATAAGAAGAGAGAAAAGAAAACAGCATGGACCTTAGAAACGCCTAGGACAAGCTAAACAAAATGAGCCATATAAAATCCTTTATGTGCCCCTACAACAACTGAGTGTCAGATATTGCATGTATCTATGTCTAATTATGCTGGAAATTTTAGGCAAATCTTCTAGGTCTTACTGGAAATGATAGCTATGGTAGCAAAAGTCAAGAGTGAGAAAGCTTTCCAGACAGATAATATATGAAGGGGATAAAAAGATAGAGAGAAACACACTTAAATAATCAAAATGCAGCGTATTTCTTATAACTTTTTAGCACTATCAGTTCCATTTCATGACCAGTAGTCCTTCAAATTTCATCACAAATTAATCCAAATAGAGGCAGGTTAAACAAATCGATTATACAATGAAAAGTAAAAATTGACTCTACAAAATCAATAGTGTTATAAGTTGAAACTTTTTAATTTCACATATTAACCTTCAGTTCTGTTTTGCTCTCTTGCTGGTATAAGTAAAACCCTAGAACTTTAATTCAGGAGGAAAATGTAACAAAGAGATTGTACCTGAGCATATAAACAAGGATCCCGATAAGCCTCGGGGTCTCTAGAGACCGCATGAAGTGAAACAGACAAGAAATCAACTGCATAACCTTTACTCCTATCAGTATCGCTTAGCCACACCACTTGCCTGGTGATATTTAACGAATCGCAAAACTAAAACTCAACTACTGATTAAGAAACAAACAATATACATGAACACAAACAAAAGTAGATTGAAGGTCAAGATGTTACTTGGAGGTGATATAGAGAGTGCCAGGTGACTCAGGAGGGCGGCTGCCGAGGACTACAGCAGTTCCAGGCTGAACATACATGAGTTCCTCGCCGTTGTCGGTGTCGAGGAATGGCTGCCCGGCTCCGTCACCGGTTCTTTCAGCGACGAACTTCAAGCCTGACATATTTTCCGGCTAATTGCTGTTGCTTAGCTTAGCAAAAAAAAGTAGTCTAGGGTTTTAGTTTAGGTTGGGCGCCAAAATTAACTTCGACAGCATTTTACACTCGTAAGAAGCTTCTGGACTCTCAGTCCCCTCTTGACCAAAGTCAAAATCATTAGCTTTTTTTTTTCGTTTTTCTTTTTTCTTTTTGTCCTTTTTGATACGTTGGAAAATAAAAAAAATCACTACTAATATGTTTGTAACTTGTGAGCTACCTTGCTTAAAATCAATAATAAAGAATAATTTTTTTTATTACTTTAACAAAAAAAAAAGGATGAAATGCGTTTAAATTAGGTACAATTAAAATAAAATGTCATTCGTTAAAAGTTTTATTCAAAAATATTTTTGTCATTAATAGTTTAATTCAAAGATACTCTTATTTTCACTTAATTTGATCAAAATTGTCTTGTTCTAATAAAAATATCCGTTTTTCTTTTTAAACAAAAAATTTCTTATAGAAATATTATTTTAAAAGATAAAATTATTTTTTCATACTAAAATACAAAATAATTTTATTTCTTAATCTTTTTCGAGTTGAGGTAGGATAAACATTTAGTAATAAAATTCTTGAATTTTAAAATTTATATGGAAAAGGCAAATTAATTATAAAAGCAGGGATCATATTATGAAACGTTTATCCTACTCCAATTCAAAAAAGATTAAGAAATAAAAATATTTTTTATTAGAAAAGAAAATTGTAGTGTTATCTAAATGAAAATCAATAAAGAGGGTATTGTGATTTTAGTTATATGTATTAAGAAAAAAAAAGTATTATTTTCCACTTTTTTTATTAGTTAACTAAATTATATTTAAAAAGTAAGAATAAGGTTCTTTAGATATATTATAGTATCTATTAGAAAAAGAATGTGTTTAAATGTATATATATTAGGGAAATGATTGTTTTAGACCCAATAAAGTAAAAATTGGGACGTTTTTTGGCCAGATTATTAACAATAATTTTTTTTAATCAATTCGTTTTATAAAAGACATTTTTATTCAGTTTCACATAATTTAATGACATTTCTTATTTTTTCGGAGTTTTAATTATATCTTCCTAAACCACCAAATCTTCTTCTAATATGTAACCTTCATTTATCAATATATATATTTATAATTGTTGCTTAAACCTTGAGTTGGTAGTTAAATTTTGATTTTGGTTCTTGTATTATCATGCTATGCAAATTGAATTTTAATTAAATAAACTGTGTGATTTAGTTCCTAAACCTAACTCCAAAACGAATGGTGTTGGCTTTCGTTATTCAATTTTTATTTTTTTTTATAAAATAAAACTCACTGTTCTTGTCGAATGAGGGGAAAAATTCTCAATTTCTATTTGGCAACTCAATCATCAAATTGCTTAGTTGGAGAATGACTTCAAGAGAGAAGTTGTTGAGTTTTAAGATATGCAAATGTGTCAATTTATCTATCTATTACCATACATAAGGTTAGGATCATAATCAACAATTGATATAGAGAAAACATATAAACACCTAAAGTTATCCTGATTTTAAAAAAAGATACATTAACTTCACCAATGTTTTAGTACTCCATAAAAATTTTAAATATCTTTGTTAAAATATCATTTTGATCAATTTTCTCCCTACATTTATTTTCACGCAGATGACGCACGTAAATAAAAAAATTTGCTTTCAAAAACGGATTAAAAAGCGTCATGTATCAATTCTTTCCTATTATTTAATTACTTCCTCTTTAAAAACATTGTCTTCTCCAATTCTTTCAAAAGAGTCGTTGGTTGAAGGTTTAAACAAAATCATCTTCTTTCTTAAATGAAATCAGTCCAAAAAGATATGAACTTTTTAATTTCTTGTTAATTTCCAGTTGTTCAAGGTTTAATTTCTTCAAATTTGAGATACCAAGTGTTTGCAACAAATTTCCTTAAGCGCTGAAAATCAACTTCAAGCAAAATAAATAAAAGAAAAATGTTATTTTTATTTATGAATCGTTGTGAGTACAATTCTGTTGTTCTCTTGATTCTCTCTCCAAGATTCGAGGGTCTTCAGTAGCGTATTTCTCGAAATATTGGATGATGTAGACCTCCTTGAGATGTTGTCGATCTACGGGAACGTCGGAATGCGCTTCGTCGTTTCAAGTCGATCTCCGGGAAGAACTCCGTTGATGACTCCTTCGAAGAGCTATGTAGTTAATGGTGTAGCTTCCTCCAATTGCAGAATGCTTGTTGAAGAGTTTTCTTGATGCCCTTAGAATGTCATGTCCATCCTCTATTTATAGTTGTAGGGGGTGGACAAGGTTGCTTGTGATTGGCCAAAGAATGTCATTTTGACACTTGGCGGATTGTGACTGGTTCTTGCATTTGACTGGGACTACCACCTCATTTGGACACGTAGCGTTACCTTGTTGGTCTTGGATGCCTAGTCACAGTGACACGTGGCATGAGTTTGGGCTTCAAGGTGAAATGGACCTTGGATTTGAATTTAATAAGATGAACTTATTTATTTGTAAAGCCCAAATTAATCATTCAGCCCAAATGAACATGATTTAATTCAAATTTTGTATGAATTTGATCTAATACAATTTATGTGTCTACAAATGCCCTTACTTCGAGACTTGTCGACGTGTATGCTTGCCGAAGTTTGGCGACAAGACTTGAAGTATTCATGAATGTGTTTTTTTTAGGCTTGTCAACGTGTAGGCTTGCCGAATTTGACGACGAGAGTTAGAGTCTTCATGAATGTGTTTTCTCTTTTTGAGACTTCAAGAGTATTTGTTTCTTGTCGTCGTATTCTAACTAGACCATTACAAATGATTTGCTTGTAGTGATCTGAATTTTTTAAAAACATTCTTGCTCGACAACCACGTGGACCCTCTATATTGATTTCAAAATAGATGGGTCTAGTGAGTAGTAACATTATTTTTTCGTCTGATTTTCCTTGCAAGGTGTGAAGAAAAAACAAGAAGATTGATTGGATTTTGAATCAAATAAAAAGAATATCAACTTTTCTTATCCAAGTCAATGAAGATATTCTTCTTTCCTTAACTCTTTGGTCATCCTTCCATATTGGTGTGGCTTCAAAATGGACATGAACTATCTCAACCCAAATCAGATTTTTATTTTCCAAATCCACCTTATTATGCCTTGTGGAAGGATTAGAAATCTTTCACAAGAATCCCTATATAATCCTCTCCAATGCATAAAGAGTTTCATCATACAAAATTTTAGATGCTGCAAAAAACAAGTTATCCGAGTGTATTTAACTGTTCAGTTGCGACGTCGCTTGTTTTTATCAAATCGGGAGACATAACCTCCATCATATCTCAAAAGAAACTTCAAGCAAGGTACTCTTGCTACTTTCTCAGGTAACTTAGACTCTTGTTTAGCAGTAACCCGTCTTGATGGTTCAGCTTTGCACGCCTGTAGTGTAAAATCCATATCTAATTGTAGAAAAATCAAAATCGTAAGCCGTTTGGTTTTTCCGAAACTAGAAACATGGCACTACGACATATAAAATATTTGTAGCCAAATTCGTTTTCAATTGCTACAGTTTTGATCTTCAAGTTTGAACCCGTTTCTGATTGACAGATTTGCGTGTCCGTAGTGTACAATTCATTTCTAATTGTAGAAAAATCGAAATAGCAAGTCGTTTGGTTTTTCCAAAACTAGAAACATGGAACTACGACATATAAAATATTTGTAGCCAAATTCCTTGTCAATTGATACAATTTTAATTTTCAAGGTTGAACTCATTTTTGATGGTCAGATCTTTTTTTGTCTTTTGATTACTCCGATTGTGTTTTCGCCAATGTAACCTCCTTTTTTTTTCCAGAGCCACATTGTGCAATATTGATTTCAAGCAGCGACAATGGACTTTAGTGATCGAGATGCGCCATACCCTTGCCTTGAAATCGTGAGAACAAGCAACATTCGCGCGCCAAAGTTCTCACCATGAAAGTTCATCCTCCGGTGATCGGCGCCTTCCCACTTCTTAGAAAGACGTTGGACACTTCTCATCATCTCCCGGAGTGGTCGTCAACAGAAGCGAAGGATGTTACGAACGATTTCTCCGGCAATGTCACAACTGAAAAAGTTCTCCTCTTGAAGTCTTCCACTCATCAAAATGTTGTTGTTGCCGTCCCTCCTCGTCGTGATGAACATCTTAGCAGTTGGCGTGTTCTTTCTTCTGGGTTTGGTGAGGTTCACTATACGTCTGGCTATTGGGAGTGGGTAGAGGATGAGCTTGCCCGCTGCAAGGAGACTTTGGATAACATGAAGACTTATGATGCTATCTTTGCTTCAATGTTCACATACGACCACAACGAAAACGTTCTCCAGGCCTTTTGCGAGAATTGGCGTCCATCCACCAATACGGTCTCTACCTTCGTAGGAGAGTTATCTATTTCTTTATGGGATTTGAGAACCATTGGAGGTCTTTATGTTCATGGTTCCTTTTATGATGAAGTTATACCCTCGGCTAAGGAGTTGACACATGTAGATGATCAAGGGAAGTCTTTTCTCCCAAGAAGTTGCTCCTTCTTGTTTTCGGCGTTCTACCGACTTACCAAAGGTGCCATCGACGAAGTCTCTTTTCGAGAATGGACAAAGTTTTGGTTTAGGGGGCCGAGAAAATATGCCGAGCCTTCGCCAAGGACGTTTAAGAATCATACAATACCAAGGTTGAATCATGATCCTTCTGGAAATATTGACATGAGCTTTTTGCCTCGAACCGAATAAGAGAATGCTCTTTTTGTCGAGCTAGGCATAGAAGAATCATTCAGGGATGAGACTTATCTGGAGGGTTTTCTCGCATGTTGGCTTTGCAAGTTTGTTCTTCCTAACAGGAAAGTTGATTGTATTCATGCTAGTGTCTTCAAAGTTGCAAGCTTGATGGCTCATGGAGAAATATTTTCTTTGGCGGTTCCGGTCTTAGCAAACATCTATCGCGGCCTCAGGGATATATCCACTTCTTCAAACTTGGGTGCTTGTAATACATTACTTCCCTTCCATTATGTATATGGATGGATAGGTGAGTATTTTGAGACCTACTTTCGTATTACCCGTCCTCAACGAGTTGTGCGAATTTGGCAAATTTTTGGAGAAAAGATGG